GAGGAAATTAGCTGAAGGAAGAAAGCGGAATGGACCAGCTTTAATTGTATTAAAACATCATTACTCGACAGTGAATTGTCCATCTGTCTCTAGCAAGAATTTCTTTTCAATCATCTTACCAGCCATGATCTGCGGCGTTGAAATTTTGGTCTGCTGCTAAAGCGATGGATTACAAACTGGTGATCACGCAAAGAGCGACGGAGAGAAAAATATGTAAGGTGACCCTCAGGGGCCAGATTTCTAGCTCACAAATTAGACAGTGGACGGGATTAACAGGCGTGAGTGCTGCATTCTGAGACTGTCATGCTGTTCACAAGATCGATGTCGAGAATTTCAAACTAGGTTCTGCTGCACCTCCAATGTCGAGGGGGTCGTTCAAGAGCACCTTTGGATTAATCGATGGTCAAATTAATTGGTCAGTGGTGGAAATACAAAACTGTAAAGAGAAAATGTTTCATGACGGTCGACTTGCGTTGATGGCACACCCATAGCGAGAGCAAGTCGGATAGCGCACTTACGATAGAATATACTTTCCTGAAGGATAGTACCATAAATAAATAGGTGTGAAAGGAAAGTTGTGACCGTAGGATATCGGTGTGCCTTATTCTTGCACAGCTGGGTGACGGTGGATGTACTGTTCTTTTTTGTTACTTACGGTACAACGTCAGTCCTTTGCTGTCTCCTTAATCAGGGGTGCCCTTGATTTTCCTTTTTAAGACTGTAGTTGACCATTGCCGCGTGCAGCTTCCTGGTTTTTTTCCACGAAATGATACCCATTTATCTGGGAAGTGATTGTTTTCTGATCGGATTGAGCAGGCAGGTCAGGTAATGCAAACGGCTGTTTTCTTTGCCTGGTGCACTTCGTTCGGTCATTTGCTGGCAATATGTTGCTAGAAATGTTGAATCGGCCAGGATGAAACGCTGTACATCAGTAGCGACTAATGAATGGTAACGATCAGCCATGACAGGCCACGTATGGAACGCTATGGAAGGTGCACTGAGACTGACCCTGATAGTCCTGAAATATTATGCAAGGGCGAGCCGATATTGTAGGATGATATGTATAGTCTTGAGGATCGACTGTTTGGTAGGTTCTCGATGCATTGCAGAGGGCCAGTATGTGCTGTAAACGGTTGTTGAACAAAATAATATTGTGTAAGCGATAGTGATATTCATTTTTTATGACGACGTACAGTCCGCATTGTATTCTTCTTAGTCTTTCATTTGCGTTCAGTAAGCGCTGCTTCGGCAGTATTTTCGATACGTGGAGACGTCCACTTATTAAGTCTGAAAAGATTGCATGATTTTTTTCTCTGATTTGACTTTTTGCTATTTTAACAACGAATTGCAAGAAAACATTTGCTGACTTGTTCTGTTTTACACAG